CCGGCTTCTCTGGCCCGAAGCCTCTGAGTCCTGCTTGGCCCCTGTCTCTCAGCCCACGGGCAGCCCTTCTGCGCGGGCCTTTGGCTCCCCACCTTGCAGATGCCTCCAGAACCCTCCCACCCCGCTGCTCCCACACTGACCCAGACTCCGCCATCTCTCTCTCTGGACCTCTGACAGCCTCCTGCCCACCGTCTGTTCTCAACCCCGCAGCTAGAGGGAGCTGCTTAAAACCTAAGTGGCTCGGCCATAGGTTTGACTCAGTGGATAGAGCGTTGGCCTGCAGACTCAAGGGTCCAGGATTCGATTCCCATCAGGGGCATGTGCCTTAGTTACGGACACATCCCCAGTTGGGGGTGTGCAGGAGGCATCTTATCGATGTTTCTCTCTCATCGATGTTTCTAACTCTCTATCCGTCTCCCTTCCTATCTGTAAATATATATATATATAAAATAAAATAAAATCTAAGTGGTTCGAGTGGTGGGCTTCAATGGTTGAGCATCAACCAGGAGGTCATGGTTCGATTCCCGGTCAGGGCACATGCCCAGTTTTGTGGGCTTGATCCCTGGTCGGGAGCGTGCAGGAGGCAGCCAATCGTTGATTCTCATCATTGATGTTTCTATCTCTTTCTTCTTCTCCCTTCTTCTCTAAAATCCATAAGAATATATAGATATTCTTTAAAAAGCAATATATCGTTGTAAAAAATTAAATAACATCTGAGTGGGATCATATCTCTCATCCTCTTGCACCTTCTCAAGTCCTGAGGGGCCCCAACGTGATTTGCTCTGCTCGGCGCTCCCCTCTGGCCTCCTCTCCTGCCAGGTCCCCACTTCTGCCTCAGGACCTTTGCCCCTGCTGTTCCCTCGCTCACCTGCTTCCCCAGATTCCACACGACTAGCCTCCTTCCCTGGCCTACTTGGAATTTTCCCAAGAAGACGCCACGGTCTCCGGGAGGCCTCCCAGCCGCCCAGCGTCAGGTCGCCACGCCCCCGCCGCTCTCCCCTCCCTGCCCTGTCTCCTCCATCGCCCCGGCCACCGCCCAACATGCCAGGGCGGTGACTTTATTTACGTTTATGCCCGCGCCCACCCCCCTGCCTTGACTAGGACGCAATGAAGGGGGGGAATGCAAGTCTGTTTTGCTCACAAGATTCCTGGTGTCAACCACCGTTCCTGGCATGTAGTAGTTGTTCGATACGTAATCATCAAACAAATGCCCAGAGCCAGAGCGAAGAATTCTATACCGTGACCGCCATCCTGCAGCCTGCTGGTGGTGGCACCCGATGTTAAGCCCCGGCAGGCTTCTCGTTCAGGGTGGGAGTGGGGGAGGCTGGAGGAGGAGAGAGCCACACAGCCTCGGGCACAGGGAGGGGGGCACGGGGACGGGCGGTGGGGAGCACGCCAGGTCGGAGACCATGTTGCTCCTTTCTCCTCCTCACGTGGCGACACCAGGAGGTTCTGAGCGAGTCCGTTCCCCTCTGTGAGCCTGGGGTCCCCGTGGCCAGCGAGGGGTCGGGACGGTGCCCGGTGCCCAGGTCCCGGGACTCCAGCCCTTGCTCCTGGATAGGCAGTGGCCTCTGGGCGAGTGTCCATTTCCTCCTGGCCTGCCGCCTCCTTCCTCCTGTGCCGTCCACGCCTCCGGCACCGGCAGAACATTCAGGGCTGGCCGGTGTGTGCCCAGGAGGAAGCAGGAGGCAGGCTGGGAGATTTTCAGACGTACCTGGGCATGGGGCACAGGAAGGAAGGCCTGTGCAGGGCACTCTGCCTGCCCCGCCCCACAGCTCCTCGCTCCGGAGGGGGCTGTGCCCCTTCCCCATCCCCCACCCCGGCCAGCACCCCTGGGCGCCCGTCTCTCTCTTGCCCTGGCACCAGTTGCACGGGGACAGTCCCAGCTGGCTCCCTGGCCTGGGGACAAAGGCCACCCTGTGCCCGGCCCCGGGCTGGCCTCAGGCAGGGTCACACTGAGCCCTTCTGTCCCCATATGGGGGTGGGGGCAGACACCACAAGGTGACAGGCCATCTTCCTGTCCCCCTCCCCTCCTCGACCCCCAAATCGGAGGAGCGGACGCTCCCCAGGGAAAAGCGACAGAGGCATCTTGTGTCTTGACCTAAGAAACAACAGACCATTCACTGTCCAGTCTGCCCTGTCACACCCAAGACCCTGCTGGGTTCAATGCCCCGATTGTCTCCTGCGGAGAGAGGCAGCCACTCTCTGCCCTGGTCACCACCCTGCCACCTGCTCCCCTGTCGCCGCGACAGTCACTTCCCCTCGGTCTCTCCGTGGGCCGGGGGACCACAGCCGGTCCCCATCCCTCCGCCTTGCCTGGGCCCACGTTCCTGCTCCAGTCAGCTGTCCCGGTCCCACCCTCTTTGGCCCCCCGTCCCAATCCCCCCAACCCAAGCGGGTGGCTCCTTGCTTTGGAGGGAACATGGGGAGGGTAGGTGCCATTCAGGCCTGGGCCTCCTTTGTTGTGCAGAAGTTGAGGGCCTCTCCCCGCATGGCTTTCAATGAGCCCCCCACCCTCCTACACAGCGAGAGCAAGGACATAAGGGTCATGGTGGTGGATTACTGAGCACACACAGCTTTACAGGGGGTAGGGAGTCTCCTGTTTTCAGAAGGGGGCATGGCTGGCCCTCGTGGCAAAGCTCACACCTCAGGGAGCCCAGTGCTTGGCTCCCCCGACCCCCCGGGTAACGGTGATCGAGTCTGGGGCGTCAGTTGTGACTGGCAGACATTCCCTCCCCTTCTCCGGAGTCTTCCTGCTCCACTCCATGTGCTCTCCTCCCTCAGCTCCTCCCCAGGTCCGAGGATACTCCATTGCGGCAAGGCCGGCAGGCGGGACCCGGTTCGTCACCCGCCCTTCCTTGGGCCTCACGCTTCCACCGTGGCTCCTGTCAGATCCTGGGGAGGCTTTTTATTAAGATGCATTTTCCCGGTGCCATCCTCAGATCCTCAGTTCCAGAATCAGAGTGAGACCCAAGAATCTGAATTTTTAAAAAATATATTTTTTATTGATTTTTTTACAGAGAGGAAGGGAGAGGGATAGAGAGTTAGAAACATCAATGAGAGAGAAACATCGATCAGCTGCCTCCTGCATATCCTCTACTGGGGATGTTCCCCGCAGCCAAGGTACATGCCCTTGACCGGAATCGAACCTGGGACCTTCCAGTCCGCAGGCTGATGCTCAATCCACTGAGCCAAACCAGTTAGGGCTGGAATCTGAATTTTTTTTAAAAACATATTTTTATTGCATTCCAAGAGGAAGGGGAGAGATAGAGAGAAATAGGAACATTAATCGTTGATCAGCTGCCTCCCGCATGCCTGCAAACGGAGCGTGTGCCCTGACCAGGAATCGAACCGCGACCTCCTGGTTCATAGGTCGACGCTCCACCACCGAGCCACGCCAGCCGGACAGGAATCTGAACTTTTTACAAAACTTCCTGGTGATGCCCATGTCCTGCCAGCCTTGTAAACCACTGACCCTTATCATGGAGCCGTCTCCATGCTCCCGTCATGCTGGGCAGTGAGTGATAGGCAGGGTATGGCCAGGCCCCCTGTCACTGGGCCCCTATGCCCCTCTAGCACAATGCCTGGCACACAGTAGGTACTCAGTCCTCGTTTGTTGAGCGGAACTGAGCGACACTTCAGGGCCCACTGACCGAGGAAGGCTTAGCTGGCGGTGCAGACCCAAGGCCTGGGTTCTGAGAGGCACAAGCCCGAGGAAGGAAGCTTGGCCATGCCCAGTGTAATGTCAGGGCTCCGGGGAGTTCGGGGGCCCAACTTTAAGTGCATTTGGGGGCAGCCAGGAACATTCGGGCCCAGGGAAGGGAGGGACCCTTTGCAGGGTTCTTTCAGGCTGAGGACAGGAGGATGTGATCATTAGGCCAAGCAAACATGCTACTGACCCATAATCCCTTAAACCAGGAGGATTTGGGAGGGGCCTGGTTGCCTTGGCAACTGGGTAGTAGCCAGTGACAGGGCTGAGAGCATCCTCTGGGGACGGGCAGTGTCTGGTGCGTGGGTAAAGCTGGGTGGGGGTGCAGGACCGGCCCCCATGCCTTCCTGGCAGATGTGTGGGTGGGGGGCCCTTGCGAGAGTCCTTGGCCCCGGCCTCACTGTAGCCGAGGGAGCGTGGGCAGCGCAGGATGAGGGGGCGGCCGCAGAGGGAGCTTATGAAACAGTGGCGGGAGGAGGGACAGCCCCAGTCTGGCTTTTCCGGGCAGGACACGGAAGGAAGGGTCTGCAGGAGGAAACAGTGCACAAGTCCCCTTGCTCGGAGGCAAGAGGGCTGAGGAGCTGCAGGGGGAACCCCTCCAGTCCACCCCTTCCCCGCTGTCCTCTGCAGTGGACGCCCTTCCCACTTGGGGCTCCTCGGGGGGCCTCTGAGTTTCCCCTGAGACCTTCAGCAGCTCCTGCCCTTCCCCGTTTCAGCTGCAGAGAGGGGGCTGGGCCAGCTCAGGGGCACCCACCTCCTCCCTCACTTCCCAGGACAAGCCAGCCAGAGCCTCCAGGATGAATGGGGTTTGGACCAGACTCTGTCACGAAGGTGTAAGCCAGGCTGATACTTAGCGTGTAGGCATCCGTCCATGAGGCTGCAGACAGGTCCAAGCTCACACACAAGTTGGTAAAGAGCTGGTGCCCTCCCTGCCACTCAGCCTTCCCTCCAGAACTCTCCAGACCTCCAGCCGCTAAAAGGTCCCCCTCTGGCCCCGGGGAGGCCTCCAGCACCCCCTGGGCCCGCCCTGCTGCGATGATGAGCGGTGCCGCCCGGTTCTGCCGGGTCCTCCTTGTGCGTGCTTCCTGGGAGCAGGGAAGCCCGCGTGGGCCCCAGGGAGGAGAGGCCTGGTGGCTGGAGCCTGTGCAGAAGGCTCAGCCCCGGCTCCCCGGGCAGGGCCACAGAGCGTGACGGAAAGACGCAGACACGCCGTTCCTGAGGCCTCCCTCACGCTGTCCCTCCGCCCGCTGCCTCAGGACCGCTGCCTGCCGCCTGCCTGTCCGGGCCGATCATGAATAAGATGAAGAACTTCAAGCGCCGCTTCTCCCTGTCGGTGCCCCGCACCGAGACCATCGAGGAGTCCCTGACGGAGTTCGCAGAGCAGTTCAGCCAGCTGCACAGCCGGGACCAGGAGGGTGAGGCCACTCCCCTAAACCCCTCCGGGCCCTGGACCCCGCGGGCTACACCGCATACCCCACCCCACACTACACACCCACACCCCACACCACACACCGTATACCCCACACCCCACACCCCACACCCCACACCCCTCACCCCACACCCCACACCCCACACCTCACACCCCACACCCCACACCCCACACCCCACACCCCACACCGCACACCCCACCCCACACCCCACACCCCACACCCCACCCCACACCCCACACCCCACACCCCTCACCCCATACCCCACCCCACACCCCTCACCCCACCCCACACCCCTCACCCCACACCCCTCACCCCACACCCCACACCCCACACCCCTCACCCCTCACCCCACACCCCACACCCCTCACCCCACACCCCACACCCCACACCCCACACCCCTCACCCCACACCCCACACCCCACACCCCACACCCCACACCCCTCACCCCACACCCCACACCCAACACCCCTCACCCCACACCCCACACCCCACACCCCTCACCCCACACCCCACACCCCACCCCACACCGCACACCCCACACCCCACACCCCACACCCCACACCCCACCCCACACCCCACACCCCACACCCCTCACCCCACACCCCACACCCCTCACCCCACACCCCACCCCACACCCCACACCGCACACCCCACACCCCACACCCCACCCCACACCCCACACCCCTCACCCCACACCCCACCCCACACCCCACACCGCACACCCCACACCCCACACCCCACCCCACACCCCACACCCCTCACCCCACACCCCACCCCACACCCCACACCGCACACCCCACACCCCACACCCCACCCCACACCCCACACCCCACACCCCACACCCCTCACCCCACACCCCACACCCCTCACCCCACACCCCACACCCCACACCCCACACCCCTCACCCCACACCCCTCACCCCACACCCCACACCCCACACCCCTCACCCCACACCCCACACCCCACACCCCACACCCCACACCCCACACCCCTCACCCCACACCCCACACCCAACACCCCTCACCCCACACCCCACACCCCACACCCCTCACCCCACACCCCACACCCCTCACCCCACACCCCACACCCCACACCCCACACCCCTCACCCCACACCCCTCACCCCACACCCCACACCCCACACCCCTCACCCCACACCCCACACCCCACACCCCACACCCCTCACCCCACACCCCACACCCCACACCCCACCCCACCCCACACCCCTCACCCCACACCCCTCACCCCACACCCCACACCCCACACCCCACACCCCACACCCCACACCCCACACCCCACACCCAACACCCCTCACCCCTCACCCCACACCCCACACCCCACACCCCTCACCCCACACCCCACACCCCACACCCCACCCCACCCCACACCGCACACCCCACACCCCTCACCCCACACCCCACACCCCACACCCCACACCCCACACCCCACACCCCACACCCCACCCCACACCCCACACCCCACACCCCACACCCCACACCCCTCACCCCACACCCCTCACCCCTCACCCCACACCGCACACCGGCACTGCTGGCCGTGGGGAGGACAGAGGGAGGATGGGGACTCCCCCCCGGGGCAGAGGGGCAGGGAGGGCAGCTGATGCCTCTCCCTCTCAGATCTGCAGCTTGGTCCTCTTGGCAGAGACGCCCAGCCAGAGCCCAGCACCCTCTCCCCCACAGACGGCGGGGAGGAGCCCAGGCCGCCGTCCCCCGGCACGCAGTACCGGCGGCCGAGCCAGCGCCGCTTCTCCATGGAGGTGAGGGCTCGGGGCCGTCCCGCGGGGCCTGGCAGGACGCAGCCGCTCACGCGTGCCCAGCAGGGAGGTGGCCCTGGAGCCAGACCTCACGGGCTCCCACGCCAGCTGGGCCATTGATTAGCGCGGTGACCTTGAGCAAGCTCCTCCGCCTCTGCGCGCTGCAGTCACCTTGTGCTCACATGGGCACCCCGAAGATTAGATGAGCTAACACATGCCAAGCACTTGGGACATTCCTGGTACATAGCAAGGGTTTGACAACCGGACTATTGTTCTTGTGAGCCAGGGACCCGAGTGTATGAATTACAGTGTCCGCAGGAGCCCCAGTGCACAGGTGGGGACACGGCCAGAGAGGGGTCAGGGCCTCCAGAGAACACAGAGCCACTAGGCTTGGTGTTCGCAGAGGCAGTTGGGAGCCTGGGTCGCATGCAGCCCGGGGCTTGGCCCCGCTGAGTTGCTCAACAGGGAAGGCCAGGCCCAGGGTGTGAGGCACGGCTCTCACAGCACCAGCTGCCCTGGAGCAAACACTGCCCACGTCCCATCCCGGCCCCTGCAGGACATCAGCAAGAGGCTCTCCCTGCCCGTGGACATCCGCCTGCCCCAGGAATTCCTGCAGAAGCTGCAGCTGGAGAGCCCAGAGCTGCCCAAACCGCTGAGCCGCATGTCCCGCCGAGCGTCCCTGGTGAGTCCCCAGAGCATCCGTCAGAGATAACCAGGGTGGGACACCATCTCCCAAACATGGACACGCACATGGTTTGGCCTGTGCTGAGGCCGCAGCAGTTTCTAGGGACGGTCCCGGGCCTCTGGCGCCACCTGCTGGTCATAGCGGATTCCTACAGACCTACATCCTTGGCCAGCATTCACTCTATGGGTGGGTCCCTCCAGGGCTGGGGGTGAGCCTCTGGGCCCCAGGGTCTCCACTGGAGTGACATCAATAGACCAGCCGGTGCCTGCTCTCCAGTCCTGGCTGCTCTTGTATTTCCTTGGGAGCATTTTCCTCAACACCGACTCTGGTTCCCACCCTAGGCACCCACAGAATCAGACTCTGGCCCGGAGTATTGTGAAGGGTTGGGTATCACTGAGCTGGAGGAAGTGAGCTGACGAGAGAGGCTCCTGGGGTGGAGGGTTCTGAACTGGGCGTTCGAGGTCCCGGGGAGGGAAAGACAGAGTCCCTGCGTGACCTCACACAGACCGAGATAGACAGGGGACGGGGTGCTGAGGCAGACAGTCCCATGTCTGCACCCGCTGCTGGGAGGAGAGAACTTGCACGCCCAAGGCTTCCTCCTTTAGCCCAGGGGGAGAGGGGAGAGGAGAAGAGGGAGGGTCTGTGGTGTCCGTTGTTCTCTCTTCCCCATGGGGGTCTTGTTACCTTTCCTCCTGGGGAGGTGGGGCGGGGGAGGGGTGGTGAGGCCTTCAGCTCACAGGACCCTACGTCTCTTCCCCTCAGTCAGACATCGGCTTTGGGAAACTGGAAACATATGTGAAACTGGACAAACTGGGGGAGGTAAGAGGCTGGGTTGGGCCTTCTCAGGGCAGCCAGCAGGATGGTAAGGAGTGACAGGGTCTTCCCCCGCCCGCCCACCTGCCCTAACCTGCCCCCTCGCTGCCACTGCCCACAGGGGCACACGGTCCCAGCTGGGCAGCTGGGCTCAGCCTTTGGCAGATGCTGAGGGGCGTCCAGGTGCTGGAGGAGGGTGTGAGGATGGAGTGGCCCGTGGGCTCTGGGCAGGATCCAGTGTATTTTTAAATATATATATATATATATATATATATATATATATATATATATATAATTGATTTTTTTTACAGAGAGGAAGGGAGAGGGATAGAGAGTTAGAAACATCTATGAGAGAGAAACATAGATCAGCTGCCTCCTGCACATCCCCACTGGGGATGTGCCCGCAACCCAGGTACATACCCTTGCCTGGAATCGAACCTGGGACCTTTCAGTCCGCAGGCTGACGCTCTATCCACTGAGCCACACCGGTTAGGGCTCCGGTGTATTTTTTTCAATGCAAGTATTTCTCGTCTGAGTTCGAACCCGAACCTGACCAGGTACCGGCTCTGTGGCCTTGGGCCCACTCTGCGCCCTCTCTGTGCCTCGGGTTCCTCCTCTGTCAGACGGGGACCTGACTGGCCGCCCGCACAGGCCTGCTGGGGGTTGGCACGGTGACTGTGGTCAGCCTGTGGTCAGCCATCAGTGCCTGGCATGCAGCTAAGGGCTGTCAGCTGCTCCTGGGACCATAGGCTTCATGTCTGAGGCTGCGGGCGGGCGGAGGGGTGCAGAGAGGAGGAAGACGGCCCTTTCCCTGCAGAGACCCAGGGACCTGCGCAAACAGCAGCCACAGGAAGAACACACGGGCGTTAGGATGGAGGGGCCCTGTGCAGCCTGCTGGGGGCTGGGGGGGACAGTCACTCTGAGTGGGAGGAGCTGGGGATGCTTCACAGAGAGGTGAAGGGAGAAGGGGGCAGGGTGCTCCCACTGGAGTCCAAGCCCTAGCCGGGGCACAAGTGGGGAGAGGGCCCTGGGCAGAGGAGAGCAGCACCTGAGCGTTGCCGGGGCCACGGGGTGCTTCTCCCCAGGGCACCTACGCCACCGTCTTCAAAGGGCGCAGCAAGCTGACGGAGAACCTCGTGGCCCTGAAGGAGATTCGGCTGGAGCATGAGGAGGGGGCGCCCTGCACCGCCATCCGAGAGGGTACAGTGCCCCCTGGGGTCCTGAGCCCCTGGGGTCTCCGGGGAGGGGTCTATGGGTGAGGTGGGAAGAGGGGGTCTGAGCGGCAGGCGGGGTGCTGGGACCCAGGTGGCCTGTCTCCCCAGTGTCTCTGCTGAAGAACCTGAAGCACGCCAACATCGTCACCCTGCACGACCTCATCCACACGGAGCGGTCCCTCACGCTGGTGTTCGAGTACCTGGTGAGCTGGGAGCCTCTTCCCCTGAGGGTGGGGGCGGGGGAGGGGGAGATAGGGGATGTCCCAGGTCTTGTTCTAGAATCAGTTCTCCGATGTTCCAGGCCCAAGGGCGGCTTGGAGCAGGGACCTGTCCCACTCCTGGGCTCCGGCCTACACGGAGCAGCTGGGGTGGGGGGCTTCCAGCCGGTGACAGGTCGGGGCACGGCTGAGGGGCTGAGCGGCTCTGTCTTCCAGGACAGTGACCTGAAGCAGTACCTGGACCACTGTGGGAACCTCATGAGCATGCACAACGTCAAGGTGAGCGCCTCTGGCAGGGACCCCGCACGCACGCAGGCCCCATCCACCTCGGCACCCGCCTGTCCTCAAGCCCAACGTGGGAGCTCCCTCCTCTCCAAGGGCCCTGGCTGCCGAGGCTGCTCAGAGCTTCCGAGGAGGACAGAAGGAGGGGCAGTGCCCTTCAGAGAGGACCAGGCACTGCGCTGAGCGCCTCAGCCCACCACCCAGACACACCCTCTGCCGCCATCTCGCTGTTGATATTCTCCGCCCCCCCCCCTGCATGAGTGCTCCCGCCTGTCAGATGGACCAGGAGTCTCCTGGCAGGGTGGGGCAGCTCAGAGGGACGAAGGACCTCCTCTGGAGTCTGTCAGAGAATCAAGCGCATCCCCCATCCCCCCATGCTGGGCTTCCCGGCCTAGGACTGTCCGCCTGCCCTCCCCGTCCTGCCTCCCCGTGTTCCTGTTCTCTTCCCCTAGTTGGGTTCCCTGGGGTGCATGGAGCCCAGGGGTGGTGCAGTGTGGGCAGGAGAGCCAGCCCCGCGCCCTGCCCAGTCCCTGTCCCCATCCGAGGCCCAGCCATGGGACACGCACTCCCTTTCACTGACCACCCCCTCCTCCCCCCGTCTCCCCCCTCCCACCCCAGATCTTCATGTTCCAGCTGCTCCGGGGCCTCGCCTACTGCCACCGCCGCAAGATCCTGCACCGGGACCTGAAGCCCCAGAACCTGCTCATCAATGGGCGGGGGGAGCTGAAGCTGGCGGACTTCGGTGAGGGCGGACGGCAGCCCCCTCTGGCCGCAGGCGGGCGCCCCGGGAGGAGAGGCTGCGGCCCCTGACACGTGTGTCCCTAGGCCTGGCCCGGGCCAAGTCCGTGCCCACGAAGACCTACTCCAACGAGGTGGTGACGCTGTGGTACAGGCCCCCCGACGTGCTGCTGGGCTCCACGGAGTACTCCACCCCCATCGACATGTGGTGAGTGAGTGTCACGGGGCCCGGGGTGCGGGGCCTTCCACACCCCCAGCTCCCTTCGGCCGCCTCACATGGTGGCATCCAGGCGGACGGGATGCTCAAGGGTGGAGCCCGCACCACACTGGGGTTCCCGGCCTCTGGGCAGACCCCTCCGAGCGGTGCTTCTGAAATATTTTCCTGGCGTCCCCCAGCCCTCCAGCGCCCCCAGTGAAGATGATGATTTGCCCAAGCATCCGTTCTGCTGGATGTTTTGGAGAGAATATATTCCTTTAAACATTGACATGGATCTTATTTGCTATTATCGTATGAATTCAAAAGCCAAAACGAAAACACAGGCTTCCGATGATGGGCCACTGTGCCCAGGGCCTTGGGGAACAGGGTGTGGACAGGGTTTGAGGCAACACAGCTTAAGGAACGGTCAGGGGGTGCTGGCCGTGCAGAGCAACTCCTACAGAGGGGAAGGGGCGCAGGCAGCGCGTCCTAGAGCCCGGGGACACCCCCATAGAGGCTGTAGTGGGGGCTGGGCCAGCCACCCCAGCGCCAGGAGGTACCTGAGCCCCCCGGGTAGGGCATCGCGGGGGAGCAGCCGTCCCTGACGCGCCCTGCCCGTTGCTCCCCGCAGGGGCGTGGGCTGCATTCACTACGAGATGGCCACGGGGCGGCCCCTCTTCCCCGGCTCCACGGTGAAGGAGGAGCTGCACCTCATCTTCCGACTCCTCGGTCAGTCTCCTGCGCTCCCCCCATGTGACCACCAGGGGGCGACAGAACTCTGTCCAGCCCAAGCGCACCAAGGGGCCTGCTCCCCGCAGGGCGAGGACCCAGGGCACTTGGCCATTTTCCATCTCCTCCCTTACAGTGCACCCCTCCCTGGCCCCTCACCACGCCCCCCCACCCCTTTTGTGTCTCCCTAGGGACCCCCACGGAAGAGACGTGGCCTGGGGTGGTGGACCAGCCTGAGTTCCGTGCCTACAACTTCCCCCGGTACCTCCCCCAGCCGCTCATCAGCCACGTTCCCAGGTAGCCTGCCTCCCCCCCTCCTCTCCTGCTTGTGGTCCCGGCTGTCCCTCCTGGGGGTGCCCCCCTCCCACCCCCGCACCCCAGGCCAGGCCTGTGCCAGCTCCTTCCTCCTGCAGGTTGGACTCCGAAGGCATCCACCTCCTCACCAGCCTCCTCTTGGTGAGTGTGCCCGCCGCGGGGCCAGGAACGGGCAGCCAGAGACAGCCGCAGCCCACGACCCCGCCCGGGCCCTGCACCCGCCTCTGTGCTCACCTGCTCACACGTCAGGACCGCCCCTGCCCCGCCACTGTCCACCCCTCCCCACCCCCACCCCCACCCCCCGGGCCCCAGACAAGCACCATTTCCCCGCTGACTCGGAGTGGGCGCACTCAGAACCAAAAGCCAATTCAAGCCCCCTGAGTGGCCGTGCAGCCTGGGGCCAAATCGAGAGGATGGCATGCACGCACTTAACACGGGCGCGTCTGGAAGGCGGCCCCTGGGAGGAGAGGGTCCTGCCGGAGTGGCCCGCGTGCTGCCGGTGCTGTGAATGCTGCGGTCGCGGTGGCTTTAGCGGCTGCGTCCCCGTCCCGAGAGGAGGCCACGCTCCCCAAGTCCCGTTCCGGGTTTGCCTGCGGGTGGGCCCTGAGCTGAGGCTGCCTCATCGGGCTGAGCTGGGAGCTGGCCGTGGACCAGGGCCCCTCGGTTCAGACTCGGCCCCCTCGAGCTGAGCCGAGGGGCACCGCGTCCCAAAGGGGTCCCCGCAGCCCGCCAGCCCGGCCCCAACCGGCCCCTGTGCTTTCAGTACGAGTCGAAGAGCCGTATATCCGCAGAGGCAGCCCTGAGCCACCCCTACTTCCGGTCTCTGGGGGAGCGCGTGCACCAGCTCCCAGACAGTGAGTGGCGGAGGGGATGGGGGACGGGGGGGGGGGGTGAGGGTCACCCCGGAACCAGGAAAGGGGGCAGCAGGTGTGGGCAGAGGAGCTGTAACGCAAAGGCCAGGGGCCCTCGGTCCAGCTGCTCAGCCTGGGCCCAGGGCTTCCCCTCCTTCGGTTCTCATTGTGAGCCAAGGGTCAGACTGTGGGCCTGAGACTGCCCGAGAGGCTCAGTCCTAACGGAGGGGTTCCCCAGCCAGGGGGCGCTCCACTCAGCTCTCTCCCTGTCCTCCCCTCCAGCCGCCTCCATCTTCTCCCTGAAGGAGATCCAGCTCCAGAAGGACCCAGGCTGCCGGGGCCTGGCCTTCCAGCAGCCAGGTAGGGCCTTGCGCCCCTGAACCTCCCACCTCCCCCCCCCTTTAGGAGAGGAGGCAGGACAGGCTGCTCCTCCCTCTCGGGGGACAGGGATGGGGCCCCGCAGCCCCTCTGGTGATGGGAAACCAGCATGGCCTCCTGGTCGTTGGCCTCCCTTCCGGGGGGCCTCTGGGGACCAGGAAGGACTGGTTTCCCTATCTCCAGCCCAGGCTTCCTCCTCTGGTGTCTCCCTCTCCACCCCCAACCCCACCCAGACAGACTGGCTCCTCACAGCCCTGAAGGCACACGCTCTGTGCATTCTCTGCACGCTCGAGCTCTCCAACTAGCCTGCCCCCTGGAGAGCCGTACCTGGTCTGGGAAACAGAAACAGCTGACAGCACTCCCCGTGCATTTTCTCATTTTATCCTGAAAACACCTGCGGTTGGTGCCAGTCCTGTTCCCCAGTCCATGAAACTGAGGCTGTGAAGAGGTTAGGTCTCAACTGCGTGCGGCAGCTAGGCCACAGAGACAGGATTTGAACCCAGGACTGATGGGCCCCCACATGCGTGGTGCCCTGGCTCGCTCTCCCCCCAGTTCTGCAGCACGCGCCTCCCTCCCTCCGGCCCGGCCTGGCCGCCTCACTGCACCCCCTCTTCCCCTCTGTGCTCCAGGGCGAGGGAAGGGCCGGCGACAGAGCATCTTCTGAGCTGCGGCCGGAGGGAGAGGGCGCGGAGCAGCTGCGGGTCGGTGGCTCAGGCGGCCCCAGGCGGACGGAGGACGGAGGATTGAGGGGGAGGCCGGCCCGGAAGACTGGCAGCCCTGCTGGCCACAGCCGGGTCCTGACCTGCTCCCCACGTCTCCCCCGTGGCCGCGGCCCAGACACCAACCCCTCTATCACCTGCCCTGGGAGGAGGGGAGAGGCACGGGAGGACCTTGGAGGCTTTTCCGTCCCGAAGCCCAGAGCCCACGCGGACAGGAGGACCCAGCGGCCGGGTGGAGCCTGTGCCCCGGACACGCCTCCCCCGGGGCCGGCCTGTCTCACTCGTTCGGTAGATCCCCCTATGGGCCCCTCGTTCACCTTCTCCCCCTCTGAGAGCACCTTTTCCTGGACCTTTGTGAGCCAAAGCCCCTGAGGGGCAGGTGCCCCTCCCCCGCAGAACAAGAGGGGAAATAACAGGCCTGACCCCACTCCATTACCCTTCCCCCTTCCCTCCCCCCCCCCACCCGTCCCATTCCCCCTCCTCGCCAGAGGCCCCGTTTGCTGCTGGCTGCCCACTGAGTCCGGAGACCTGGCACTGCCCCTGGCACTCCTGCGCCTCTGCCCGCCCGTCTCCCTAGTCTGAGGGGCTGATTGCCTTAAGCTGGTGGGCGGGGAGCACACACTGCCCTTGAGCTCCGACCCAAGCTTTGACCTGCCCGGCCTTTCCCGGGAGCCCCTCCTGCTGGTCACCCCCACGTGCTGATAAGCCAGCCCGGGGCCAGGGCCCTGGGGCAGCGCCCAGATAGGCAGGGTCACCCTGGCACTGGTGCCAGGCTGGCCTTGGCTCCGTGGGCCTGGCACAGCCTCCCCGTGCCCTCCTCTCCAGCCCCCGTGGCCCTGTCCTTGCTCCGCCCAATCCTGGCACCAGCCACCCCGAAGGGTGGTCATGAGAAGGACAGTCTGAGGCAGAGGACGGCGGGGTGGGCAGCACGGGGGGTGGCTCTGAGGGGCCTGGGCCCCTGGAGAAGACCCTCCCCAGCCCCTAGCCCCCCGGAGCGTGCCCGCTGTGGCCCTGAGGGCATCTCCATGCGTGGCTGAACCTTGAATGCCAAGGCTAAGGGGAGGCTGGTCCAGCCTTGCTCTACCAGCCCCTGCCCCGCCCCACCCCACCCCGCCTGAGGGGCCGCCCTGGAGGGTCTCCGCCTCCCCTCCCCCACGGTACTGTGAACTGTGAACGGCCTGGGACTCAGCACAGAGACAGACGCCATATTTAATTCATGTGCAGAGAGGAGCCGCAGACTTGCAGAAAAGCTGAGTTGGACAGATGGATGCCAAAGACGGAGGCCTCCTGGGCCTCGGGAGTGGGTGTATGTGTGAGTGTGTGTGTGTGTTTGCGCATAAAGTGGAGAGAGCGTTCGGCTGTGTGTCTCTCTGAACCCCCGGGGCTGTGGGAGGATGGCCTGGGCCCGCCCTGCCCTATTCCCGGCGCCGCCGTGTTCAGGGCCAGGCCGGTGCCTGTGGGCATGGAGGCCGGCGTCCAGCCTGGGCCCAGGCCGGTGCCCGAGGACTGGGTCAGCCAGGGAGCCGGGAGCAGGCCCGGGGAGGGCTCTGCAGTTCGGGGTGCGGTAGCCAACCCGGTGCTCCCCCAACCCGCTGGCTCCCTGGCTTCCTGGGAGGGAGGACGACTCTAGAGGGTTGGCATGGGGAATGGCCCAGGCCAGGGAAGCAGAAACGAGGGTCCAAGCCTTCGTGACTCTGGCCCAGCTCCCTCCGCTGCCCGGTCGCCTCGGGCCTGGGGTCTGTCTACACCCTCTTTCACACACGTTGTTGTCCAAAGCTCCCGGCATCGTGTCTTTTTCCAATTCCTAGATCAGGCGTGCTCTCCCCAGGACCACTGGGAGAATGTGAGGCCCCCTCAGCCACGCAGCGACCTCCCCTGTCCAGGGCGCTCAGCGCAGGCAAGGACTTTCCAGGGGGCGGGCTGCTTTCCAGGGGAGGAAGCTGATGTGGGAGGTGGGGTGATGTCTCCCGAAGCCCCGGAAGGAAGGAAGAGTGGACCAGGGCTTGATTCTCCAGGTCAGCAGCCTGGACCCCCTCACCCCTTTGTAGACAGCCAGCCATCCAACGGCAGGGTGACTGCAGGAGGCGTCTCTCTCTCTCTTTCTCTCTCTCTCTCTCTCTCTCTCTCTCTCTCTCTCTCTTTCTCTCTCTCTCTCTCTCTTTAAAAATATGTTTTATTGATTTTTTACAGAGAGGAAGGGAGAGGGATAGAGAGTTAGAAACATCGATGAGAGAGAAACATCGATCAGCTGCTGCTTGCACACTCCCTACTGGGGATGTGCCTGCAACCAAGGTATGACCGGAATCGAACCTGGGACCTTTTGGTCCACAGGCCGATGCTCTATCCACTGAGCCAAACCGGTTTCAGCAGGAGGTGTCTCTTGATCTCCGTGTATTGCGGGGTGACAAGGCTTGTCTGGGGTCACATAGCAAATCAGAATCCCCGGTCTGCCTGCCACCCCAGCCCTTGGCCTCGGGGACAGCTAGGAGAGGAGAAGGGGGCGGGAGAGACAATGCGGAGCCCCAGGAACGAGGGAAACAGGCAGGACGCCGGGCAGACGGCAGACGCCGGAGCACCTGGCAGGACCACCACGGAGGCCGGCCGCGGCCCCACTGGGTCAGAGGCTCCTGCTCCTCTAAGAGTCTTCCCAGGGGCAGGGGCAGCTGGTCCTGGGGCCGCAGCTCCAGGCCTTTTGTGCAGGCTCCACGGACTCTGAGCCTCGGCCCCAGAAAGCCTGGGGGTCCCGGGGACAGGCTCACACTCTGTGCTTGTTGGTGTCCAAAGGCTTTTGGTGGAGAAACGATGGCCTCTGGGAAGGAAGCTGGCAGGACCACGTGGCAGAATTGCCAGGGCTGGTTCCCTGGTGATGGCCACAGCCCAGGGCCTGTGGCCTGGTGCCCTTTTTCCTGGGCACCCTGCCACCCTCTCCTGCCTCCCGATGGCTCTTACAGGCAGGACCCCGCCCCGTCCCACTGGGGTCTGGGCCAGAGCACCTTCAGGCAGCCGTCTCCCCCTCCGGCCTCCTGCCCTCTGCTCCTGGGACAGGTCAGGAATGGCCAGGGCCTCAACTGGCTGCTCCTTTCCGGTGCCCACAGCTGGGAGCCCTGCAGGGCCTGCAGTGACACCAGCTCACATGCCAGACCCTGCCCTGGAAGATGGGACCTGGCGCTGGCCCCCCTGCCCACCCTTGCCTTCCCGTGGGCCCCCAGTCATCCTGTCCCTACCGTCCGGTCTGGTCTGGACCCTGCCATCACCTCCTTCCTTCTCGAAGCAGCTTGGGCCCATTGTTGCCCTGCTCCCTGCTCCCCCACAGCACCCCATGAGCCTCTCCGTCTCCAGAGCCGATGATCGGCACCAGGAACAGGTCACAGCCAGGCCCCGTGCGGGACTCCACCCCCGCCGTCCAGAAGCTCAGCCCTGCTGCGAAACGGCCTTCCTCAGAGCAGGTGTCATCCAGTGCCCCCTGTGTGCCAGGCACGGCGCTGGGCACCGAGGGCGGGGCAGGAATAAGGCCGCGGTGTGGCTCTCCTAGAGCTCAGAAAGGCACCGCCCACAGACAGGCATGGCCCTTCCAGGGGTCCAGTGGGCCGAAGCCGATGGAGCGGGGCCCAGGAGATGTGACAGCACGGGTCAGAGGGGGAGCCAGTGGGCCCAAGGACAGCCAATCCCAGCGAAGGCCCCGAGGGAGCGTGTGTGAGGACAAGCAAGGAGGCCGCGAGGCCGGGCACAGAGGCGGGCAGAGCGGCAGGCGGCTGGCTCCCGTCTCCCTCGGACAGTGTTCTGCAGGCCCGCTGTGGGGGTGGGGGCCCAGGAAGCACCCACAGCTGGCTCAGGGATCCTGGCAGCAGGGGGTTTGCAGCTCCCGCCGGCCCAGATGGCAGGCTGGGGCGGGAACCGCTCAGGTGGAGCTGTCCGGCAGCGGGGGCTCCAGGCTTCCTTCTGAGAAGGGGAGACACTGACCTCTGTCATGAATGGCGCGGAGAGGCTGACAGATGTCAGCCCCCACGAGGACGGTGCCGGGGGGGGGGGGGGTAGGACACCCTGCAGCCCTGCAGGCACTGGGGGCGGCTTTGGCCAGAAAGAGGGAGGAGGGAGGCAGCTCTGCCCAGGGCTGTGCTGAGACCCATCGCGGTGAGAGCTGAGGCTCTGGGTGAGGGACCCGCCTGGCCACGCAGAGGGAGGGGGACTGTTAGGACTCAACCCCGGGTCCGAGGACCTGAGCAGTGCCCAGCTCCCTGCCATTCTGGCTGCCTCAGGGAGGTCACCTCAGTTGTTGGCTGGATTCCTGGGGACGGAGCAGCCCCCTCACCCTCCTAGCAGCAGGGCTGACAGCAGCCAGTAGGTGCCAGAGGGTTACGTTGGTCACAGTGCCCCCCACACTGTGCCCCGTGGCATCACCCAGCCCCCTCCTCTGGACCCTCTGGGCCATCCCACCATCCACCAGCTCCGAGGGCAGCATTAGGCACCGGAGGCCCTGCTTCCTGCTCCACTCGGTGCCCAGCGTCCTTTCTGAGGGTCGGTGCCAGCTTCAGTGACCGGGTGCCAGCTAGCTCTCCTCTCACAGGATGGAGGGGGGAGGGCAGCGCTGATGGAACAGCTGATGCCCCCCACCCCCCGCCCCTGCCTTCCACGCTCATCCACCTTTCCTCCATCCCTCCCACCCTCCGTCTCTTTTTCTACCTTTCTCTCCCTCTTTCCCACCATCACCCCCTTTTCCTGCCCCTGCCCCCCTTCCTCTTCGGAGTGGCCCCAAGCAACCCCTGTTATGGGCGACCCGCTTATGACGACCACCCATCAGCCACATTGGAACTTCAGAAGCCTTTATTACGAACTTGAGTCTGGGCTCCCGTCTCAACTGACACAGCAGCGAGCAACGAGAGCCGGACCCACTCTAAGCTGCTTTCTCCCCGCCTTAGGGATGCCTGGCAGATCAGGATTGGCTAAA